CCCTCAACTCTATGGTCAACTAATCTTCAACAAAGCAGGAAAAAATATGCAATGGAAAAAAGACAGTCTTTTCAATAAATGGTGCTGGGAAAATTGGACAGCTATATACAGAAGAATGAAACTCAACCATTTTCTTACACCATACACAAAGATAAACTCTTAAATGGATGAAAGACCTCAACGTTGAGACAGGAATCCATCAAAATCCTAGAGGAGAACATAGGCAGTAACCTCTTTGACATCGGCCACAGCAACTTCTTTCAAGACATGTCTCCAAAGGCAAGGTAAACAAAAGCGAAAATGAACTTTTGGGACTTCATCAAGATAAAAAGCTTTTGCACAGCAAAGGAAACAGTCAACAAAACAAAGAGGCAAGCCACAGAATGGGAGAAAATATTTGCAAATGACACTACAGATAAAGGGCTAGTATCCAAGATCTATAAAGAACTTCTCAAACTCAACACCCAAAAAACATATAATCAAGTCAAAAAATGGGCAGAAGACATGAACAGACACTTCTCCAAAGAAGATCTATGAATGGCTAACAGACACATGAAAAAATGTTCAACATCATTAGCCATCAGAGAAATTCAAATCAAAACCACATTGAGATACAACCTTACACCAGTTAGAATGGGAAAAATTGACAAGGCAAGAAATAACAAATGTTGGAAAGGATGTGGAGAAAGGGGAACCCTCTTACACTGTTGGTGGGAATGCAAGTTGGTACAGCCACTTTGGAAAAGGGTGGAGGTTCCTCAAAAAGTTAAAAATAGAGCTACCCTATGACCCAGTAATTGCACTGCTGGGTATTTACCCCAAAGACACAGATGTAGTGAAAAGAAGGGCCATATGCACCCCAATGTTCATAGTAGCAATGCCCACAATAGCCAAACTGTGGAAGGAGCCGAGATGCCCTTCAGCAGATGAATGGATAAAGAAGATGTGGTCCATATATACAATGGAATATTACTTAGCCATCAGAAAGGATGAATACCCACAATTTGCATTGACATGGATGGAACTGGAGGGGATTATGCTAAGTGAAATAAGTCAAGCAGAGAAAGACAGTTATCATATGGTTTCACTTATATGTGGAACATAAGAAATAGCATGGAGGACATTAGGAGAAGAAAGGGAAAAATGAAGGGGGGGAAATCAGAGGGGGAGATGAACCATGAGAGACTATGGACTATGGGAAACAAACAGGGTTTCAGAGGAGAGGGGGGTGGGAGGATGGGTTAGCCCGGTGATGGGTATTAAGGAGGGCATGTATTGCATGGAGCACTGGGTGTTATACACAAACACAAACAATGAATCATGGAACACTACATCAAAAACTAATGACTACTGTATGGTGACTAATATAATAAAAAAATAGATAAAAATAGGAAAAAAACCCAGAATAAATAAACAAACAAACAAACTAGCATTCAAAGCTTAATAGAATCCTAAAGAGTTATTTACTCCCTTACATTTTACACATTAGCTTTTCTTGCGGTCTTTTTCTTCTTTTTCCTAGATGTTCAGAGAATTCCAACTTCTTACGAGAACAGATATTTATAAGAAAACAAAGCACATTCTGGAATCCTATTCAGAAAATATACTGACTTCTTTTTCAGTGGTGGACAATCCAATCAATATTGCATTGCAAGAAAAAATGAAACAGCACACAGATGAGGACATGTTGAAACGTTAGTAAACCTGGGGGTGGGGCAATCTGGTCTTAGTTATCTGTATAAATCGGGATAATTAGAAAAGCTCTGTTTTGGAAATAAGTAATTCAGTGAAACAACATGCAGGATGAAAAAAATGTTCTCAAATAGGACGAGTTGAGGTATAGAATTAAAAGTATACTTGATACTGTAAAATTATATTTAGGGAACTAGTTACCTATTAATGTCATAATACAAATCACAAGGTAAAGCATGCTAAAATCTTCCTGGCTGATGGACAGAGAATACAGGACTCTTATCTTCTCCTGGCCATGACCTGGAGGGCAGAACATGAGATCTGGATGTTTATTAGAAGGCAAATGTTTGGTTAAACGGTTGTGAAACACTGATGCAAGAAGACTGGTTTATTCTCTATAGATGCAAATGATTTAAAAAAAAAAACACCCACATTTTAAGACTGGCTTTTGCTAATAGTTGGCAAAATCTTATTTTTCCTTGGACCTTAAACATGTTGTTTTGGCAGATATGAAGATGACAGCCACATGTTTGCTCCTACCAGATGTTTTTGGGGATGATCCCAGCCTTTTTGTCATTGTGAATGAGAAGGTATGCAGTATGTCAGTGACCACTGGGTTTGACATTGAGTTTGATATTCACATCTTCATAGAATTTATTTGAAAACAGGGCGGTGGTCTCTTTTCAAGAATGGTTTTGTCATATTTATAAATATGCTGCACTACACCAAGCTCATTTACTGTAGTACCATGGTTAAATTGAGGCAGCTTATATTATTTAGCTATTATCCACATCACAGAGTGGTGACTCTATTATCTGTTGTTTCAGGTGCAAGTTTCCACACCCGTATTAGAAGTCAAGAATCCTTTCAACGTCGATGTCTGCGAATTTTCTTTGTATTTAGAAAAAGAGAAGCTCACAAGGGTAGACGACTGTGTTACGGCCTTGGCTGCTCTCATAGCTGCCTTCCACGTATTTGGAGTTGAGTGTCCAAGAAGACTGTCCCAAACCCTCAACTTCCTAGAGACACTGATTTTTGATATGCACAGTCCCTATTTTCCTTCTATGAAAGAAAAGTTAAAGGAAGTAGGATTTCAACACCCAGTTACATAGTAGCATGCCAAATATTGCATCAGAACTAATGATCTCTGGGACAGCTAAAATTTTATCAAAAAAATTGTTTTGACTTAGCATTGTAGTAGAGGTAGGTATTAGAATATCATCTTGTCTCAAAGATGCAAATGAATTTCAGTATCTTCTATCTTTATGCTTAGATACTGAAAATTCTTTGTGAAATTCTGTAATAAAATACTATGTTAAAGAGCTGTTTGAGTTCTAAGAAATTCAATGGTCCAAGCTACACTTTTTTTTTTTTAAAGATTTATTTATTTTGAGAGAGAGAGAGAAGAGAGAGAGCATGTGCACAAGCGGGAGGGGCAGAGGGAGAAGGAAAGAGAATCTCAAGCAGAACCTGAGCTGAGCGTGGAGCCCAGTGCAGGACTTGATCTCATCATCCTGAGATCCCGAATTGAGCTGAAACTGAGTTGGGCACTTGACTGTGTCACCCAGGCGCCCCCCAAGCTTCAATTTCAAGGGTGCTTTAGTTTTTGAAAGACCTTACACTTCAGATACACTCAAATCCTTTGATTAGGGTATCACACACCTTGCACTTGGCCCAATATGCCCATCCTCGTAAGACTTAATGCCCAGGAGCTGTACATTTGTGGACTGTGGGCTGTCTCCTTGGTCTGAATATGGCTTGGAAACATTTTGGTCTTGAACATTTTAAGAAGATGCACATACTCCCCAGTTCTCTTTCCCCCAGCTGACCTGCCTAGTCCCAGGCATTTTGGTTTCCTTCAACCTCATTTGTTGAGAACAAAGTCTGCTTCATTCCTGAGGTCTCCTCACTGCTGGCTGATCTTGCTCGTACAGGTTCTGATCATCTGTGACCTGTGGAGTCTTTCACTGCCTCCCTCCCTTGGCATACAGTGATGGCCCCATTCTTGTCTCTTCATACCATTTCTACTTTTCCCAGGCTTTGATGTCAGGTGTTGGCATGGGCCCTAGCTGCTGCTCAGGTTTGTTCGGTCTGTAATATGGACCTGGCTTTTTCCTCCCAGAGCCTTTTGGGCACCAGTTTCTAGTTTTTGGCTTGGCCCCTTCCTAGACTTGTTCTCCTGCCTATCTCCAAAGTCCAGGTTCTGGTTCCTCATCCACCCAGCTCAGAGTCCCATGTTGTAATTCCATTTGTTCTGTTCCTAAAGATGGTACATAAGGATTTCTTAGATCTGACAAGACTCAGCGCACTCTTTTCGAGTATTTAATAAGGATACATGACAACATTAGTTTTGAGGTACTCCTTGATATCATCACAGTTTCAATAGAACCTATCAGTTTTGACAAAACAGACTGGTTTAGAGATTGAAGAGACTTAAGTGTGCTAATACTTCCATCACAATGCCATGAGCATTTTGGAGGTAACTTTATCATATTAATTTTTTTAAAGTTTAAGAAGAAAGGGGTTCCTATGAATTATTGAAAAATATTTGTATGACATACATCTCTGGAAATACTTATTCTAATGCCTTTTTCTCTATAAGTACTATTCTTTAAAATGCTTAAGTTAGTGAGCTAGAAAATGAAATTTCAATCAGCTGCCCACCTCTACAATGACTATTCAATACTAACTGCTTTGGTAAGAATGGACAGCAGAGTACCAATTCGGTACATGTCAATTTCACCTAAACTAGTCCCTAATTCCATGGTTTCTGTTTCTTCCCTTTCACTAGAATGTGCCTTTAGTTCCTTACAAACTTTCCTTTATTTCCCCGAAACCCCCCCCAATTTTTTTTAGTTCCACAATCTGTCTTATTCTTCCTGTCCCAAATGAATTTACCAAATTCTTACAGATTCCTTTCCTTAGGAAGTCCACAGCCTCTGCGGCTAAAGGTCAATGAAAGCCTCTCTTTGTTCCCATAGGCTGGGAAAGAGATTGGGGTGGAGCTGCAGGAACCTTGCAGTGAGGTTTGGCTCTAAACACGGCAGACGTGACCGTGAGGGCAAATTCACTTAAGCTTTATTATCTCTTTCCATGGTGCATCTGTCCCCAGTGCCCAGCACGGCCCTGCCACTTGGTAAATACTCCTACTGTTGACTAACATAACTCTATTTACTTTGGAGTCTGCATCTACTGAATCTAGAAGTTGCAAAATGGCACCTATGGTTATATTCCAACCTGCAGACAGGTCCCATTTGGCTTACACAATGTTTGTAATTTTTTAAAAATGTCTCTACTTATTTACTTACTTATTTATTGTTGTTCTTCACATCACCTGGGACACAGTTGGACAATTTTGAATCCTGCAGATTCATTACATAGCGAGGTAATGCCCAAACCTTTGACATTGTTCCTGCTCTCATTTGCCTGTATGACAAGCTTTCTAAAAAAAAAAAAAATCATACATATGTAAAAAAAGTATCTGCAATTAAGATTTTATTTCATTCATGTCAGATATAACAAGTGCAACTTGAATGTACAAATTCTGAACAGAACATAAAAGAAAAAAAAAAAAACCCAACAACGAAAAACTTATTTAAGCAGACTCATGCAAGAAATGAAAGGGACATTGCAGATGCCACGGCCCTTTTGAATTATGACAAATGCAAAGGACTGCTAATAGACTCCCAACGGGGGACATCAAAGGAAGTCCTACATCAGAAAAAATAAGGGCAACTAAAGAGAGAGGTGGAACTTGCCCCAGAATTCAGACAGCATGCTACAAACTTACTTCCTACCCTTATAATAGCCCTCGAACAAATGGCCCATCCTAGAAGTAGACATTACATCCAAAGGCTGATAAGATAATTTACCTTTTGTGTTGGAAAGGCATTCTCAGAAAAGAAACACTAGTGCTAGCAGTTTCTAGGTAATCAAGGGCTTTCATTTAAAGTGCATCTGTACATTTATAAAACTTGGGTGAACTGTTCTACAGAGAAAGGAATCTTTCCAAAATGGAGGTTCTTGAATAATTGCTTTGGGAAGCTGCCCCCTGGATCTGTGAGCATTTAGAATCTTTGTGTTGACTGCTATTGCCCCCTCACACCCTACCTTTTCAGTAAAATCCACATACTCTCTCTTCAGCAGACCCAAAGAAAATCTTTGGGTCTGGAGGAAGAAGATCTGGGACAGAGCTCTTTATGGATTAGTGTTTCCATCGACAGAACGACCGCTTCAGCTCTGAAAAGCATCACAGTGACTTCATTGGCAATTAGAGAGAAGCTCAAGATCATCTCATAAATAGTTCAAGATCCTTACAAACATCCCCCCCACCAACAGAACTGCATATTCCTTTGATACCACTGGACTCCTGTAAATACATAGGGCACCACAATGTATAAGATTGATGCCATTCAAATACATCACCTAATTTATTTATATATTTTATTTTTCAATTCCATTATTTATATACATGTTTTTGGTAATTATAGTAAAGATGCTGGTGAAAAGTAATTTGTTTAACATTTCATAATGCGTGCAAAAGTAAAAACACTGATTGAAAGAAAAGTAATTTTTACCACCATTCAGCCTCAACAAATTATGACAAGCAGTTAGGCAGTATCATGACTTGCAGAGTTATACTTAGCATAATGTTGCAATTCAAAATATGGCACAGAATGAACAATACAGGTAACAGTCCCACTGGCAAATCTCAGCCAGGTTTTGACTAATTTGGTTTCAGTTGAAGTTGGATTATATAAAAAGGTTTCTGAAAGTACTGAAAAAGAAATAGTGTGCATGAAAGAGAATTCAACAATGTTTACAAAATGCCAAAAATTCTTACTCCGATCCCCCCCTTTTACCATAAATAATTAACGAAGTCCCCTTCCCCCCACCCCCCAGCCTCAAAAAGATGTACAAAGATAAATTTTAGCTCAGTGAACAGAACCAAAGGATGACCGCTGTTAGACAGTACTTGGTTAAAAGCCGAAGGACTTTCATAAGGATTCGTATATATTGTCTCTTGAGGAATATAAATAATCTGATAGCATCGCTCTTTTGAGTTTTGGAGACTTCTTGTGTAGGAGTTATAACTGTCCTTGTGCTTTGAATAAAACATGAGCTTTAAAGCAGAAAGCTGATGGTATTCAAAATTCACCATCTTCAAAGTTCATTGTGAGAGTTCTTCTCTGCAGCTTTGAACATCAGGATAGAATTGAAAATTTTGAGAGCAGGGCCCAACTTAATGCTCATAATTTTAACAATGTCTGTTTGGGTCATAAGCAGAAAGGCTTCTCCATCAATTTGCTAAAATGGGAAGAAAAGACAAAGAAGATTATGAATCAATTGGATGTGGTGGTGTGGCAAATAGCCGAAGCTGAGTTATCAGCTGTCTTCTGCACAACACCATGAGAATGGCACAGATGGAGCTCATGTGTGTGAACATTCCCGACTAATGAACCTTTCTTACCGACAATAACCAAATGTGGACTGGAAGCAAAGTAAAAACTCAGTCATCTGAAAAATCGGCCTGCAGGAAAATAGAAGATGATGCCCATATCTCCCCGTGATGACTGTGACTTAGGCAATGAGTCAAGAAGAATTTGGAAAACTCGGGGGTGCCTTAGATCCAGTTCCCATTATGGCAGGTTTTCGAATGAGAGAGGAGAATAAGCACACAGCTGTTTGTGGATATAAACAAAGGAATTCAGGCAAACGTGTCAGCTGCACTCTAACATTTTTTTTAATTAACTTTTCACAATGAAAAAAATAAATAACATTCACTTTATTTATTTAGTGAATAAATAGCATTCATTTTTAGAATGGCCACAATTACTCTTCATATACAGAAAAAGAGTAACTAACAAGGGCAATCAACAGTGTAGATGGAAACACATCAGATGAAGGTGGCAAACATGGTTTGAAGAATGGCAGACTAGGCTGGTTCTACTACTACTAGGCGGGTAACTGTGAGCGACATCCTTCCTCTCTCCGGGTCTCTTCTGAGATTAAAAATCTGTGCTTCCACAGAATAGAAAACTTTGAGATTTAAAGATACAGCTCTGAAGAAGATGATGTCTGGTTTAGTGGACAGAACAAAGGAATAGTCTTTTTGTAAAATTTTCAGGTTTGGGGGTATCCCACCACCTCAAAAAAATTAATTCGTTTCTCTTTCAGTTTTTCCATTTTACACAAAAAGTAAAAACAAAAAACAAAACAAAACAAAAAACCAGTAAAACACACGTTTGCTCTCTGCCTCAGAGTACATCAGAAACTTTGACAGCAATGTACTGTTTTGAGTTGATTGTGTCTGTCCCAAATTCATACACTGAAGTCCTAACCCCCAATAACCTCAGTATGTGACTTATTTGGAAACAGGGTTACTGCAGTAATTGGTTAGGATGAGATCATCCTGGAGTAGGGTGATCCAAGATGACTGATGTCCTGATAACAAAAGGAAATGTGGACACAGAGACAGACACATATAGAGGGAAGATGATGTGAAGACAAAGATAGAACACCATCTATAAGCCAGGGGAGCGGGTCTGGAACAGATCCTTTTCCTCCGCCCTCAGAAGGAAGCTACCCTGCCAACACCTTGACTTCTTGCCTTCTTTAGACTTCCAGACTCCAGAACTAGGAGGACAATACATTTCTGCTGTTTAAGCTACTGGTTTATGGTTCTTTGTCATGGCAGCCCTAGCAAACCAATACCACTCCAAATTCTATAAACAGTTTACCAAATAAAGGCTGATATAGTTTAATAGCTGTTTAAGATTTTCCTCTTTTCTCTAAAAATACAACAAACCTGAAAACCCTTTTAATCTGTAAGAACTAGGGCCATCTTATGCAACTTTGAGTAATAATTATTTGCAAAAGTTTCCTAAGTTTCAGTAAGGAAACATCCCACTGTCATAAACTAGGAAGGAAAGACACTCCAATGTAAATTTCCAAGTGAAGACAAGTTCAGTGGCAGGTAGGAGAAATGTTCCATTGTTTTTTGGGGAACATCTGCTCTGGTCTCACTTGTTTGTGCTATGACAGTCCTCTGATCAAGCAAGGCCAAGCAGAGAGGCAGATCTATTAACACTTGACTCAACCAAGGCAGACCTTGGTAGAATAAATGGTCCGAGAGAAGTCTTCTAAGTCATTAATGAAAATATCAACTAACATACTGGTTCCCAAGGAGCTCATTACAAAGACGGAATTGTTTGGTTTTTTTTGTTTTTATTTAATTTAATTTAATTAATTTATTTATTTATTCATGAGAGACAGAGAGAGAGAGAGAGAGAGGCAGAGGGAGAAGCAGGCTCCCAAGGAGCAGGGAGCCCGATGCGGGACTCGATCCCAGGACCCTGAGATCATGACCTGAGCCGAAGGCAGACGCTCAACCATCTGAGCCACCCAGGCGCCCACAAAGACGGAATTGTTTATTATGACCTTGGGCCCTACTGAGGCTCCTTTTGAGATTACATAAGAATTTAACATGACAGATGACTGATGAGAAGAAAGAGTCCGAGAACGGCAAGGCTGGAATCTGAAAGCTGGGAGTGGGGTGAGAAGGTGAAGTTCTGGTAGAGTGTTTTGAAGGTTCCCCAAGAAAGAAAAAGTCATCCCGAGGCCAATGCCAGCCAGTATATTTCACAAAAGCTACTTCAAAGCGCGACTGTATCTACACGCCTCAATTGGAAGGAAGTAAACTTAATTTGAGAAAATACTTTCTAAGAACAGTGATCACTGCAATGTAATACTGGGCTTGTTTTCTGTTTGTTTTTGTAATGTATATAAACTGGTCTAACTCCAGAGATGAAGTATCTTGCTAAAGGCCCAAAACTCCGAAAGAGGATTTGGAGCTCGGGTTCTGGCCTTCCATTTCATTACTATTATTTTGCACCCCTGGTTCTCTACCCAATGTTTTAACTCTGCAAATCACAGTGACATGCTGTTTGGCTGTCTTCCTCAGAGGGTAAAGGTATGAGCATGTTCACTCAACAAAAACTTTTTAAACATCTATTATATTCCAGACACTCTTCTTGGGGCTGGGCATCCAGCAGAGAATAAAACAGATATAGGCAAAAACAAGCAAGGAAAGAAACCAAAACTCCTTGTTAAGTTTACATTCTAGTAGTCGAAGATAGACTGTGAGCAAAAAATGTAAGAGATAAGCAAATTAATTAGTAATGAAGTGACAGTAACACATTCTAAAAGATGATTCATGCTATGAAGAAGACAGCTGGGTGGGGAGATGACTGGGCAGCAGGGGCGGCGATGGATGATTGAGAAGGTAGCAACGGAGCAGAGGGAGTGTGCCGCGTGAACGTCTGGAGGAAGAACACTCCACGTAGGGAAGAGCCAGGATGTGCCTGGATGATTCAGAGAATGGCAAGGAGGCCAGCATGTGGAACAGTGTAAGCTAGGGATGGAGGAGACAGAGGTCAGGAGGTTCTCACCTCTCTCGAGGTCTTGGGTATCAGATTGCAGGCCCTTGTGAGGATTTTTGCTTTTATTCTGATTTACTACTGGAAGTCTAGGAATGGAAGAGTGACATGATTGCACTTATTTTTAGTAGAATCCCCCTGGCTAGGCTGGGAACAGATTGTAGAGGAGCAAAAGCAGAAGGAGGGAGACTGCTCAGGAGGTGATGGCATTAATCTAGGTGGGAGATGGTGGCTCAGACCAGAGTGGAGGTGGTGAAGGTAGAGAAACAGCCAGAATCCCTACATGTTTTTAAAAATACACCCAGGGCGCCTGGGTGGCTCAGTTGGTTAAGCGACTGCTTTTGGCTCAGGTCATGATCCTGGAGTCCCGGGATCGAGTCCCGCATCGGGCTCCCTGCTCAGCGGGGAGCCTGCTTCTCCCTCTGACTCTCCCCCTCTCCTGTGCTCTCTCTCTCTCATTCTCTCTGTCTCAAATAAATAAATAAATAAAATCTTTAAAAAAAAAAAAAAAGAAAAAAAAAATACACCCAGTAGGATTTTCAACAGATTAGATGTGGAGTGTGTAAGAGAAAGTGAAATCAAGGATGGTTCAAATAACGGCCCATCCTAACACCCACTGTACTGTTCCCCCTAGAGATCACTTACTAGACTTTAGTCAGACTTATGGTTTACTTCTAGGCCTTAAAACCAACACCTGCTAACCTTGTGAGACATGAATTTTGCAAGAAATTACAGGATGAATGACTAAAGGAATGAATGAATATGGGAATGACCCATGTGGACAATGAACATTCACCGTCTCACTCCTCACAAGAAGGACACTGAGGATACTGGTGCCTGAGGAACATCTCCAGCGATAATATGCCATGAAGAGAAAATGTATTCAAAGAAATATCATATTTGAATTTGAACTTGAATCTTCAAGTAACCAAGCAAATCCACATAGACTGTCTGGATATCAACAGAACCAAAAATAGGATTTACAAAATGGATGTACTATAAATTTATTTTAAAAAATGTTTTATCATTTTCACAGGTAATGACTACCTGTTTTTTCCAAGAAAGAACAGCAGCTCCCTGCAGGTGTCTAAATCTGTTCAGGGACTGAAAAGTAATGGACAGTGGTCCACGAACGACACTTAGAATTTAGGCATTAAGGAAAGAAACTCAAAATCTGAATAACTGTCAATTAAAGATCAACTAAAAACCACTAAATCAAAAAAAAAAAAAAAAAGATCAACTAAAAAAAAGAAAAAAGCATTCAATCAGAAAAAAAAAGGATGTCGAAAATCAGATCCCTGTATGTCTTAATGGGCATCCATCTAAAGCATAATGATATCTCTTAGTGTCACTACACTGATGCCCAGTGTTTGGGTTCTTAGCTGTCCTGATACTCTTGCAAGGCTCTTAATTGAAAGGGTGCTATTCTTAGCTGCTGAGGCTAAACACAGAGGCAAACAAGGCATATATACTTATAACTGTAGACAGCAGATGTGGAGAAAGCCTTCTGAGATTACTTGGTCTTCTTTCTACCTTCCGGTAGCCAAGATGAGACTGATAATTGACTGCTCTACTTGGAGGAGCTGACTGGTAAGGGGCTTACTTTGAAAGGTCTCTAGTGAAAAGAGTCTCCTGCTGTACTCAAACAGCATTACTTCTATGTAGTTAAAGCCAATTTCTTTTTTGTTCTAATGCTCAATATGGGTCATAACATTATTAATCATCTCTTATAGTGAAGTTTTGGGCAGGCAGATGAAAACAACTAATGTAATAATCTCCCAACTGCAGACTGTAATGAATATCAGTTATTACAAACATTACTGAGATAGGTGTAAGATCTAAGGGGTTACTTTAGCAATAACAGTAATATTTATTATAACATTAAATGAATTTCAGTCTTGTTAAAATGACGTTTGAAAATAAAATAAAGGGAACTCATTTCATATTATTAAAAATAAAATGTTGCTTATTTCTCTCTGTGCTATAAATTATGTAAATGCATGCTATTAAGTTTCCTGTGTGTGTGTATGTGTTGTGTGTGTGTGTGTGTAAGTAGGCCCCATGGTGGGCCTGAACCCATGACCTCAGATCAGGACCTGAGCTGAAATCAAGACCTGAGCTGAGATCAAGAGTTGAATACTCAACCGACTCAACCGTGAGACACCCAGGCACCCCCCACTTCGCTTTTTTTTTTTTTTTTTTAATAATTAACCTAGTGCTATCGCTGTGGAGCATCATAAAATGGTACAAACATTCCCGCTGCATCTAATCTGATACAAAGACATTTTCATACAAATGACTAATACTGCTTTTTAGACAACTCCATACCAATTTGTCAATTTCGACACAATCCATTTCTTCCCTCTTCTGCCAATTCAAACTATTTCACCATTCATTGCATTTCGGTGCTTTGATCCCATTAAGTAACATACTGCCATTTAGTGGAATACTTACTTCATCTTTAAATACCTTTCCATGTTCTTCACACCCAGGTAAGCTCTGTATGAATTCTGACACCTGTCAAAAATAAGATGAAAATTCCCGTTTAAAAAAGAAGTCAGAATCTAAGTGCTACAGGTTCAAAGTATTTCTCCTATATGTTTTAGTTGCTCTTCTCAGAACAATTTCTTCTCTTCCAGAAAAAAAGATTCAACCCCTCTTGCATTCATTGTATCCATCCCTGAAGGACCTACTGCTATATCCTGTCCCTGGCAGACAAAGAAAATAAAATATACCTCATCTGTGCTCCATTTGGAAACTTTACTGGCAGGGATCCCAGCTACGGTGGGAAGAAGTTTGCTCTGCTGCTCCCAGCGTAAGGGCAGACATGGAATCGGGGACTTAAAGGACAGAAAGACAGCCGATCGACGCTGTGCCTGCTGTATGCTCGGTTCTTCCCGGGCACCTGCTTGATTGACACAAATGGGAAATCACACTCTGAAAAAGCAGCAAAAAAAAAAAAAAAAGCCCCAAATGCCATGTGTCTCCCCCAAATAATGAGTTGGGGGCGCGCTTAGGTAAAGCATTGCTTCCTTTCAACATTCTATTCACTGAATAATTACACCTTCCTTTTTCATTACTGAAGGTCATCGTAAGAAACAACCTGTACATTCAACTCACATGTTTGCTGCATCACCCATTATGGAAGATGTGTCACGTTAGCAAAGCTGCCTCTTTAATGTTTCATGGAAAGTAGTTGCCTCTCACCTCAGGAAATAGTTTGGTTTCCCTTTCAGCTGTGGATGTCCTAAAGGTAACGGCCAAGTTGTGTGCTCAAGTCCAGCCACTGTGGTTACCCTGTGTTTCTACACCTCTTTCCCTTTTATCTCAGTCCCACATTCTTTCAGTTTCTGTTTACTAATCATGTTGACTTTTTAAACAGCCAGCTTACGGCGCCTGGGTGGCTCAGTCGGTTCAGCGTCTGCCTTCGGCTCAGGTCATGATCCCGGGGTCCTGGGATCGAGTCCCGCATAGGGCTCCCTGCTCAGTGGGGAGCCTGCTTCTCCCTCTCCCTCTGCCTGCCATTCTGCCTACTTGTGATCTCTCTCTCTCCCTCTCTGTGTGTCAAATAAATAAATAAAATCTTTTAAAAAATAAAAAATAAATAGCCAACTTATTTTTTTTGACAGGGATATGAAATTATTGCAATAAAAATAAAACCAAAGAAAGGCAAATGCTTTTGTCATTCTTATATTGGTGGAGATCAAAATTAAAGGTACAGAATATTCCATTTATCTGCCAGATCTTCTGAATCCAAGCCTATTTACTTCCATGTTCTTCACACCCAGGTAAGCTCTGGGTGTGAAGAGCTTAAAATCACCATTTTTTAGCAAATGATTTTATTGTCACTGGGACTTCTAAAGTTTGTCAATAATTATCTCCTTAAGATCCTTTAGAACACAAATCTCTGAAAACTACTTACTCAAAGCCCGTCAGAAGAAAGGCACCTCCCCTAACATTTACTCTCCTCCACCCCTACACCAGCTCACAGTTACAATGATACTTCAATTCTACCACCTATCTTTGCCAAATGGTTACCTAGTTTAGGCTTTTGAATCTCTGAGAACATTTTAAGCTATTTTGTATCTCTAAGAATATTTTAAGGTTTTTTTCTTTGAAGAGTAAGATTTACAGAAAAGTAGACAAATCGTAAGTGTACAGCTCAAAGAATTTTCACAAAGTGAACACACCCATGTACCCAACACCAGGTCCAAGAAACAACATGGCAGCACACCAAGAGCCTCCTTGTGTCCCCTTCTAATCACACCCCAGCCGGCAAGGGTAACCCCTTTCCTGACTTCCAACACCATAGGTTCTCTACCCTGCTTCTGAATTACATTTAGATGAAAACCTCGGTGTCTGGCTTCTTTCTTTCAAGAGCATGTTTGTGAGACTCATCCACATTGCTTGCTGTATGTGGTTGTCGCTCACCTGCTCTTGGCTGTATGGTTTTTCATTGTTATGAATATTCCACAGTTAATTTGGAATTAATGGACAGTTGAGTTGTTTTTAATTTTTGGCTATTACCAACAGTGCTGCTATGAGCATTCTTGTACATGTCTTTTCCTGAACATATGTATGTGTCTCTGTTGTATATACATACTGAGGAGTGAAATTCTGAACTTACAGTGTTTGTGCACATTCAACTTTAGCAAATTCTGCCAGTGTTCCAAAATAGTTGCACGATATGCATCCACTAATAGTGTAAGAGTGTTACAAATCCTGTGTATCCTCAGTAACATATGGTATTGTCTACCTTTTTCATTTTAACCATTTATGAATTTGCTATGAATTTGAATTTGCTATGGTATCACATCGTGGTTATAATTGCATCTGTCTGATGACTCATGAAGTTGACAATCTTTCCCCAAGTTTATTGGCCAAATGGGGAACCTCCTTTGTGAAATACTTATGTTTTATGCCCATTTTTTTCCATTGGGTCATTTTGCGTTTTTCTTACTGATCTGTAGAAGTTATCTATATATACTCTGGATAGGAATCCTTTGTTGGAAATACAAAAATCTGTCTTATTAACATCTCCCACTCTTGTCTTCCTTTGTACTCCCTTAATACAGTCTTGTATGTCTACTGAAGAAATCCTTGCTTACTTCAAGGTCCTAAAGTTAGTCTCCTCTGTTTTCCGCTAAGTACTTCATGGTTTACCCTCACAATCTAGCTGAACTTTATTTTTGTACAGGGTGAGATAAGGCTCGACATTCCTAATGTTTTTTTCCACATGGATTTCTAATTCCCCAAACATGATTGATTGAAAAGACATCCTTTCCCCACTGTACTGCATGCAGGGCCGGCTTTACCATAAATATAGATGTGTGTCTCCAGATTCTCTACTCTGTTCCACTGGTCTCTTTACACCAACCTATAGGTCTTAATTACCACCACTTTATAAGTGTCCTGATGTCTGTGATCTAGTTCTTCTTCAAGACTGCCTTGGCTATCCTTATCTCTTTGCATTTCCATATAAAATTTAGAATCAGCTTGTAAAAAAATGCTAGGATTTAGACATGGCGATTACTGCTGGATATAGACCAATTTGGTTCTGAGAAATGACATCTTCACAATATCCAGTCCCCCGATCCAAAACCAAGGTATATCGCTCCATTTCTTTGGGACTTTACTATTCCTCTTTGCTCTTTTGTCATTTTCATGTATAGGTCTTGCATATATTTTGTTAAATTTATTCCTCTGTATCTGAAGTTTTCTGTTGCTATTACAAGTGGCACAACTTCTTAAAAATTTATTTCCTATTGTTCTACTGTGGTTCTTCAATAACTTTTCTTTTAAACTAGCCTAATCTGAATTGTGAAATGCTCTGAGTATTAGAAAGTAACTTAGAAGTAACTATTAGGGGGAAAAAAAATCTGTCTTATTGGAGCTAACACACCCTGGTCCTGGTTCCACCTGAGTGAGTTCATACAGAAAAATCTGTCTGTTCCACATGAAACATTTCAATTCTTCAAATAATATTTAAAAATCCATCATGGTACCTCTTGCCCCATTTAATTCAATGAATCTCATATAACTGGTTATAAGGTTTTAGGACCTCATCCTGCTTTACCGAGTATCTGTTATGAGCCAAATATATAAGCCTGAACCAGTTTGTTTTTATTCTTTTATTCTTTTTAAATTTCCTAGAGTTCAGGATGTTTTTGGTTAGCATAAATATGCGGTAACTTAAAAACATTTCTTAATTTCAGACACTACCAAGAGTTTAGCAATTATTTGAAATATGATGTTTGTACAATCTTCTGTGAGGCAGGCTAGCATGAAATGGTGAGATTTCCAGTTCCACAGGAGACTGAAACCATAGAGCCTACTTTTTGGCTTGTCCTCTGACTGCTTGCCACTGAAGTGTCAGTCTTTTCCAAAGTGGTACATTTATGATACAACTGTTCCTATTCTATTAACACTTGCCAACGTTCCCTCTTTCACCATAGTTCTATTTCCTGCTAAAGCTGTCTTATTCAGCTCATTTCTAATGTTGCTACATCATTATTCTTTAGAAAAACAACTGAGCCATTCTAAAGAAATGACTAAAACCCCTAAAGCTCCCATATTTCTGGTGGCTTCTGCATGTCTTTGAAGCTGATGCTATAAACAGGCCTACACACGTACATCATTCTAAAACTAGTAAGAACTTCGCATCTTTCACTTCAGACTTTCCTCGCTTTTATTGATTCTTTCATGCTGACTGATGTCCTGAGGCCCAGTGGTGTTTTCTGATGAATGGAGCAAAAGTAGAGTTTCCCAGCCACAGAACATCCCATCTCTTCAGAAAATAATAGTGTTAGCTAGGATGGGAACATCCAAAAAAACAGAGAAAACAACTTCAGTTGGGTGAATGTGTACCTGAGTCCTTAAATTGCATAGAAATGTGACTCCAGGTTTTTATTTTTAACATGTGATCAGACTAAAATAAATGCAAAAGACTTTGGCTCAAGTAGCTGGCTCAGTGCCATGAGTAAGAAAGAGTAGGTTTGAATGTGCACAATGTGCTTCATAAAACAAACCCTTTGTTCTGGAAGACATTTCTGCCACCGTCATTTTACTAGAGTCATATTTCTTACCGCCCTCCTATCAAACTATTTATCTGCCTGGAAAATAACACTTTTACAGGAGTTTTCTGTATGTTTTGAAGTTCCCTGAAATGAAAATTTACCAAAGTCCTTGTCCGCTCCCCTTTGGCTTCTGGTTTTGTGCTTCCACAGTTCTTCACTGCTACTCAGTTCTGTACCATTGGGCACAGAACAGCCCGGGGAGGATTTCCCAGCCTAGTTCTTACTCATCCTTGCAAAAGTGAGATATGATTAGGAACCTTTTTACTTTGTCTAGAAACTAACTGGCTTTTACTGTTTTGTGACTATCAGGGATGTGTATTTCTGGGCTTCCTTAATATCGGAAGCAAGAAAATGTTAGGTGTCAGTAGTAAGAGAAATAACTTGGTGGAAATATGTATGGTTTTATTGTGATTGCATCTGCTAGACAATTATCAAATGAGGAATATTTTTCTTAGGCTGATACCTGGGGAATGGGTAGTAGAGGCCTGCCTCCTATTTACGATTATGATTTACCATATGGAATTCACTCACTCAGCATGGACACTGTGTCAGAAACTGTGAAAGGTTTGTCAATACAGCATATTCTTGCAGATTTCCTTGAAATGAAGTGCAATAAATAATAATGTAGTTATCCAAAGTAGAAACCTGCCACTACAAATTTGCCCACCATGTCTGTCAATTCTGGTTGAGAACACAGGTATTAAAATTCCTGATTTGGCTTAAGGTAGGAAAAAGTGAAGTGGAAGATTAACCCTTGTAAGAAGTCATTTCTGATAAAGGTGATCCTGAAAGAAATATCTTCCGATGTTTCACACAGAATCAAGACAATAAA